GAACACAGTGAAGGGACTGGTGCTTATACCCCCCCCCCCCCCCCCCCCCGCGGCAAAGCGCCGGCCGGGGCGCTCCTGCCAGGCTGGAGGGCTGTCCTGTGGGCCTGAGCTCAGCACTTGCTTTCTTGTCCCACTGGCATCACGTCAGGTGATCGTGTAGAGAAAAGAACACAGTTTTGAAGCTGGGCTCAGCAGGTGCCATGATATAAGCACCAGTCCCTTCACTGTGTTCCTTCACAGAGAGACCACAACTGCCCTGTCGTCCCTTGGAGGACTGACATTATTTTCTCCCCATACTCTGCTCACAAGTCCACGATTCAACTAGTTCACCAATTTTGAGAGGAGTTCAGGAGTTAGAGCAGTTTGATTCCTTTCACGTGACAGGGAATTTACTTTTTTGTCATGATTACCACTGTGGCAACTGAGGGGGCGGGGGGTTACCTACTAGTTGAATTTCTTCATGGCCTCTGTAGAATTTAATTTGGGGAATACTGTAACACTGTTGTGCAAGCGGTCACATGTTTGCCCTCACATTAAAGGGCCTACAACAAAACTGGGCATGATTTGGGACGGAGTAAGGGGCAGTGGGTGAAGTTTAGCCCTCAGGTGTAAGTGAGCTCGCGTTAATGTCTCTGGCATATTTAAGAGACTTTAGGGAAAAAATCTGAAAAGTTAACTGACCCCAAGCTGAGCAGCAGTAAATATGGGGATGGTGCGGGGCGGGGGGGGGCAACCCCCTGATGAAAGAGGCAGGCTCTGGCTGGCATGGAAGGGGGGTCACGGCCTTGCCTGACCACATGCCTAGTGGCTAAGCCTGACAGACTGGAGAGAACCGGCAGCTGCCACGGGGGACCGCACCACCGAGCCCCAACTTTCTGATGACTGCACGTTAAGCAAGGCGTTCATCTGTTTACACTGCAAGCTTTGCCTGGTAGGTTAAATGGGAAATCAAATCACGTCCACATCGTCTGCTCCATCCAATGTCATTACTCACCCCTCTGTGCCACTGAGCTCAACCAGCCCTCTTCCCTCCCCACACCAAGTCCTCATCCTTTTTATGATGCAAAATTGGGCTGTTTCTTTCACGTGCACTCATTTGTGCTGTTAACAACAGAGTATCTGTAAAAAAAAAAAAAAAAAAAAAATTTTTTTTTTAACATTCATCTTTGAGAGACAAAGAGAGACAGAGCGTGAGTGGGAGAGGGGTAGAGAGAGAGAGGGAGACACAGAATCTGAAGCAGGCTCCAGGCTCTGAGCTGCCAGCACAGAGCCCGACCCGGGTCTCGAACTCAGAATGCAAGATCATGACCTGAGTGAAGTCGGACGCTTACCCGACAGCCACCCAGGCGCCCCAACAATGGAGTATCTTACATTTGCTGAAAGGAAACCTTCTAAGTACGATTTCCCATCAAGTCAAACTCACCGTTTTATGTATTTACCTCCAAGCAAGGTCACCTCTATGACAGTAGTGCAGAAGACGCATCCCGAATTCAGAACGTGAAAAACAACTTGAGAAAATAGGAAATGTTTACACACATTAGTTCTTTATTGGAAGAGGCGGTTCGGACCCATTTATATATGCAAAAGGGAAGGATGACAAAATATGTAATGGCTCTGTCACCTCTTCAAATATTTTACTTAAAATATACTTTATATTAAGCTTTAAGGTCACAGTGTAGGAAATCTCTGTAGTTGCCATTAAAACTACTCTAAGGAGTATTTCCTGCTCAAAATTATGCAGGACTTCAAGATAATATACATGCAGAAAAATACACATATCTTAAGTGCACGGAACACTCAAGATATTGAGCACCCAGATTTAGAAACAGTATTACCAGCACCAGATAAATACCATTTTCAGCCTTGCCTGAGGCTAACGGATATCCTGATTTCTAACTGCATAGAAGTTTTTCTGTTCTTATACTTTATATAGGTGGAGTCATACAGTATGTTTGCTCCTGTGTCTGGATTCCCTCGTTCAGCTCTGTGAAAGTGGGCTATTATTGCAAGTACTTCTGGGTCACTTGTTCCTAATGTTCTAGTCTTCTGCAGTGAATTATACCACTTGGGTTCACTCATTCCACTGCATGCATGCCTTCAGAGAATTGTTTCTTGCAGTTTTATGCCAAGAATACTCTAGCATGTCCTTTGGTTGTCATAAATGCACAGATCTGCGAGGTTTGGGTTAAAAGGGTGCATGCATGTTCAAAAGTGACAGCTTTCCAAAACGGTCATACCAGTTGGCAATACCTCCAGCAGGGCACGCTTCCCACGGCTCACATCCTTGCCAAAACTTGATCCTTTCTCATGCTTCTCATTTTAACCATCTCAGAGGGTGGGTGGTAGTTCCACATGGCATTTTAAATGTGCGTTTTCCTGATTACTAATAATGTAACTGTTCATGATTATCATCTGGATATCCTCTTAACTGATGTCCCCAATCTTTTTGCCCATTTTCTATTTTTTTCTTGTTGATTTGTAAACGCTCCTTCTAAATGTTTTTTTTTTTTTTTTTTAAGTTTTATTTATTTTGAGAGAATGTGGGAGGGACAAAGAGAGAGACTCTCAAGCACTCCCCGCACTATCAGCACGGTGCCCTATGCAGGGCTCAAACTCACCAAACACGAGATCATTACCTGAGCCAAAATTGAGACAAGAATGCTCAACCAACTGAGCCACCCAGGAGTCCCCGTAAACGCTCTTTTTAAGTTACAGATCCACAGCTGGAAACTATGACCTGCAGGCCAAATCCGGGCTGTTGCACGTGCTTTTGAACAAAGTATTATTGGGACACAGACATGTTCACAGAGGCTGTCCAGCCCACAAAGCCCCAAGTACTTATTATCTGGCCGCTTCCAAAAACGTTCACCAACCCCTCCCGTATGCTCAAGTCTGCTGTCGTATGTTGTATACATAAGTTATAAGTATCTTTTCCCTCTGTTTCTTGCCTATTTGCTTTCTTAGTGGGGTCCTTTTGATAAACAGAAGTTTCAAAAAATTAATATATCCAAATTAACTGATTTTATTTTATAATTTATAGTTCAGTGACTTTGGGATCTTCTTTCTAAAAAAAGTTTTTTTAATGTTTATTTTTGAGAGAGAGAGCACAAGTAGGAGAGGGGCAGAGAGAGAGAGGGAGACACAGAATCAGAAGCAGGCTCCAGGCTCTGAGCTGTCAGCACAGAGCCAGACGCGGGGCTCGAACTCACGAGCCGTGAGATCATGACCTGAGCCAAAGTCAGACGTTTAACCAACTGAGCCATCCAGGCATCCCCAGTGACTTTGGGATCGTAAGAAAAATTTTGCTTCCTATAAGGTTACATATAGTCTACTAAGTTTTCTTCTTAGAGCTTTATTATTTTACATTTCATATTTAGATCTGCAATCCACCTCAATCCACATTTCTATTTTCTATTAAATTATCAAACGCAATGGCAACACATTTATTAGAAAGAACATCTCTCCCATTACACTGGATTATCATTTTCATCAAAAACCAAGTGACTGTATTATGTATGGGTGTTTCTGGAGCCTTTATTGTCCCAATGGTCAATTTGTTTATGTATGTGCCAATACCACACAATTATAATATAATCTCTATGGCTTTATGACAGGTCTTCTTTGATATCAAGCAATGTAAGTTCTTCTGTTCCATCTATTCCAGAAGATATCCTTGACTATTACTGGCCTTCTGAATTTTCATTTGAATTTGAGAATTAGTTTAATTTTGATTAAAAAAATTTACTAGGACTTTTAAGATTGCATTGAACTTATGAATTAATTTGGGGATAATTGAGACCTTTTTAAGGCTGTCCTGGAATCCATGAATCGTGTAAGTCCCTCTCAAGTTTTGTCTTTTTTTTTTTTTTTCCTGGATAGTTTTTGAAAATATGGTGTTGGGTAATTTTCCCTCGAGGCACTTGAGGATTTTTGATGCTATTGTTGAGTGGTATTGCTTTTAAGTTTTTCACTTTTTATGTTCACTGCTGGTATATTAAAACATTTTTTGCATCATGACCTTGTATGCACGGACCTTGCTAAACTTACTCACGTGTTTCCTCAGAATTTTCCATGTACAGAACTACGTCATCTGCAAATAAAAGTGTTAATTCTTTCTAATCCTTATGCCTTCTGATTACTTTTCTTCCCTTACTCTCCTGGCTAGGTCTTTCTGCAGAATACTGAATACAATTAGTGACAGGAAATAACCTTGTCTTTTTTTTTTTTTTTTTTAGAATCTTGGGAGAAAACTTCGCATATTTCAGCACTAGGCATGCTGCCATTTTGTGGTTTTAGACACTCTTCATCCAAGGAAGGAAGTTCCTCTCAAATCCATAGTTTGTGAAGCACATAAACGAATGTTGACTTTACCACCACATGACTTTTCTGCATCCTAGATTACTTCTTTCCATGTGATGTAGTCCAGGAATTAAATGACCCCCCTTGTGTTCCTGGAGTAGTAAAACCCATTGATCGATGTCTTATCCTTTTGCCAACATCCATCTATTCTGTTGGCCCAGAACTGGGTCATGTGACCACTATAAACAAGTTACTGGCGGTCCGAATAGAGTTCTCGTGACTGGTTTACACGAATCAGGATTCACATTCTATGTCATGTGAAGAAACGGCGGATACCCAAACTCTTCCAGCAAGGAATGAGGGGAGAAAGGACACGGAGTTCATCAACTAAAGCTGTCTGACAGAAACTTGCATTTGTCCCAAAATACTGGGAATAAGCAGTGCAGAGAAGAATGGCATAGTATTCAAATCAAATCAGAGATGAAATTTCTGAATCACGTGGTATCGGCACATGGCTCGCTCAAACCCATGCAGGATGGCATGAGACTTGTGTGTATCTTACAGACTACACAGTGCAAGGCCCTCTTTCACTGACACAGACTTAACTCCAAATCATCTATGCATAGTTTATGAAAATAGTACTTTAAACTTTTTTTGCTCAAACGTAGTTGAAAACGTTATAAAAACCACGGGCTTACAATTTATTGATGGGGCATTCATGAAAAACCCATTTGTAAATACCTTCAAATAGAAAATTATGTATTTAACTATCTGGTACTTATCAAATGTTTCACCAACAATATATAATCTCGTGTTAGTACATTTTGCCACCTTAATACTCAAATTAGAATACTGCCTTTTCCCAAATAATTCAAATCCAAGTTTGCATAGAATTACTGATAGAACACATTTTTAAAACATGATAGAAACTGCCATATATGTACTGTCCTCATTATAAACTCCTGATGATTTTATACAATGGTTTATTCAGAGCTGATAGCTTCTGGTATCTTCCCTATAAACGTGAATTTACATCAGAAATATGGCTTTCAGTATAACAATTTCCAAGACAACAGATTTTCCCACATTCATTACTTAGACAGATCTCGCCTTGGTGTGATTCCCTGATATGCAAATACAATTTGAATTCCAAAATAAATATTAAATAGTTATCAAGTTTCACGCCTGTATAAATTATCTAGTGTCCAATGAGTTGTAGGGTCTTGCTTTGAAGGCTCTGTTTCTTCTTGCATCCTTAGGGACTCTCCTCTGTGAAAAACATTAGGTGAAGATGAATCCAATGCCTGAAGAATTTTCCCCATTCAGAAGCACGAACTCTCAGACACCGATCTTGGACTCCTTATTGGATCTCGATATACTCAGAGGGCTCTGACTTCACAGGAGATCCCCCACAGCCAGTACGTTCACACTCCCTCTCCTGTGAATTCTCTGATGGCTATTGAAGGCTGACCTGTGGTGGAATTTTTTCCCACACTCGTTACATTCGTAGGGCTTCTCTCCGGAATGAGTCCTGTAGTGCACGGTGAGGTAGGACTTCTGAGAAAAGACTTTTCCACATTCGTTACATTCGTAGGGCTTCTCTCCCGAATGGCTTCTATAGTGTACAGTGAGGTTCGACATCCGAGAGAAGACTTTCCCACATTTACTACATTCATAGGGCTTCTCTCCCGAGTGGATCCGATGGTGGATAGTGAGATAGGACTTCTGGGAGAAGAACTTCCCACATTCATAACACTCATAGGGCTTCTCGCCCGTGTGCACTCTTTGATGTCTAAAGAGGGAAGAGTTATGGGAGAAGGTTTTCCCACATTCGCTACAACCATAGGGTTTCTCTTCCGAATGACTTCTATAATGTATAGTGTAGTAGGACAACTCAGAGAACAATTTCCCACATATGTTACATTCATAGGATTTCTCCCCTTTCGGAAGTGACTGGTGCCCACTGAAGGCTGAACCGTCGAGGAAGATTTTCCCACATTCGTTACATTCATAGGGTTTCTCTCCTAAAGGAGCCGGAGGATGGTCGGTGAGATAGGAGAACTGAGAGAACTTTCCGCATTCACTACATTCGTGGGGTTTCTCATCTGTGTGTACCTTCCGATGCCTAATGAAGGCTGAATTTAAATTGAAGGTTTTGCCACACTCATTACATTCATAGGGTTTCTCTTCTAAATGACTTCTGTAATGGATGGTGAGGTACGACACCCGAGAGAAGAACTTGCCACACTCACTGCACTGATAGGGTTTCTCTCCTGTGTGTGTCCTCTGATGGGTAATGAGTGTAGATTTTCGGTAGTAGGATTTCCCACACTCGTTACATTTGTAAAGTTTCTCTCCCGTATGCGTTCTCTGGTGGTCACTGAGGGCAGACTTGCGGGAGAAGGATTTCCCACATTCATTACAGGGGTAGGGTCTCTCTCCTGAATGATTCCTCTGGTGCAGGGTCAGATGGGTCTTTTGGCAGAAGGTTTTCCCACATTCATTACATTCATAGGGCTTCTCGCCTGAATGAGTCCTCAGGTGTTGGGTGAGATGTAGCTTCTGACAGAAGGTTTTCCCACACTCATTGCATTTATAGGGCTTCTCCTCCAAGTGGGATCTCCGATGGACGGTGAGGGTTCCCTTTTGGCTGAAGGACTTCCCACATACATTACATTCATAAGGTTTCTCTCCCGTGTGGGCCCTCTGATGTATGATTAACTTTGACTTTTTACAGAAGGATTTCCCACACTCGCTGCACTCAAAGGGCTTCAATTCCATCTGTGATCTCTGGTAAACATTAAAATTTGACATCTGGATGAAGTCTGACCCGGAGTCATTCCATTCGTAGGGCTTCTCCCCCATATAAGCTCTCTTATGAGTGAGGAAAACAGCTTCGTTGTCTAAGGCTTCCATGCATTCACTGTATTCAAAGGGTTTCTCCAAAAGATGAACGTTCTGAAGAATACTTTCTGCGTTTTGAGAATAGCCTTCCCCATTTTGGTTACACTCATAGGGTTTGTCTCCGTGGTCCGTCTTTCCGCACTCGCTACATTCACTGGGTTTCTTTCTCGCATAGCTGCCGTCACTGATGATTAATTCTGAAGTCGATTCTAAATTCTTTCCACATGAGACACAAGTGTGAGATAGGACGCTCGAAGGAACAAGGCTTGTTTCCACATTATGTGTTGTATCAAATGCATCCTCTCTCTCCTCATTTGGGGTTTTGCTGTTGGTAGAAACAGCCTGCCTTGAAATGTCATCTCCATTTTCTGGGATTCTCTCTATCAGGTCATCAACTTTCCAGACTTCTAAAAAGGAATAAAATTAAACAAACCTTGTGAATCTGAACACAACAGGTACAGAATGGGCTGACTCTGGCTGTATGGCCAATCTCTGCAATAAAATAGTCACAAGTGTACAATCGTCTGTTCCCCTTTGTTTGTCCTACAAGACAGACACACACACAAATACACACACATATGGGGACGGGGTAGACCCAGGAAAGGGACAAGTGGGATAGGACTGAGAACTATAGACAAAAGGGAGAATAAGTTCACACCGAATAAAGTACCTTTATTACTTCACAAACTATGTTCAAAACTTTGGTAGAAAAGGTGAAATAAACCTTTCACCGACATTTGATGAGCAGAGGGCAATGTCACTGAAAGAGCACTAGATTAAGGCGGACATGGGGGGAATCTGGAGCACATCGGTCAGGCGGTAGAAGAGTAACTGATGTACGAACATTCAAAGAAAATAATCAAGTATGGCGTACGTTTGGAAGCAAGAGATCACCATTTACGTTAAACTGTAATATACTGCTTCACACTTAAGATTACCATGGTGACGTTCTCACTAGCCCAGACCCTTCCGAAATTTTTGCCTTTCTACTCTGTACGTAAATCCAAATAATCATTCTAAAAATTCCAATCTCCTCACCTTTAGAGACAGTCCCCCACCCCTGTCCCCCAGTCCCTCTCCCCTGGGAGTCTCCGACTCCCCATCCCTGGTTCACCTTCACCTGGAAGGAGAGTTCCTTCCAGGCACATAACTGTCTGAAAGAAATGCAAGATGGACCCGATGGCAAGAGACCCGGCCGCTCAGATCGGCTCTGTGAAGTGTTCTGACGGGCTTACATAAGCCTAACTGCCCTTATTTGCACAACAGAGCGTGGCGGCTAAGAGGACAGAGATGAAGCTACCTTGATTCAAATCCACCACTACTGGCTGGGACTTGAGCAAGGTATTTAACTGTGATGCGGCTTCACACAGCTGAAATATGCCCCGACCACCGGGCTGGGAAAGGACCAACTTAGTGCATGCAAATCGCTCAGAATAGTATAGGATATGAAACAAATACCCATGAATTTCTTTCAACTTGCTGACCTCGATTTCCTAAGACCAGCCATGTCCCTGACGTAACACCAAATGAATCCTGAGAACAAAGAGTTTCCATACACGCAGGTTTCATTTTGTACAAAACCTTGAATGTCAGATTTCTAAAGTGGCCCCCACAGTATTAACTTTTATTTCTGCGTATCTTACAAGTTTTTGGAGCCTCTGAGCTATTATCATTAGCTGCTCTCATCCACAATCAGTGCAATGGCCGACAGTTCTGCGCTCAGAAATCTACACCATCCCTGGCCCCAAAGCCCCAAATACCAATAGGAAAAAACAGAGAATTTATCATTCACCAGTAAGACTTTTCAATTACCTGGATTCACAAATATACTCAAAGTAGCAATTTGCTAGTCTTCCAAAAATACCTCCTGCTCCAGGAAGCCAGGCTATGCCCACTTATTCCCAACCACCAGCCTGTGCTCATGCCCTTGTTCATTCAATGTGGCTTCCAGCACTGGCTACACTCAAAACCTATCTATACTTCAGGGGAAGCTCTAAAATATTTATTAAATCTTGGGGCACCTGGTGGCTCAGACAGTTTAAGTGTCTGACTTCAGCTCAGGTCATATCTCACAGTTTGTGGGTTCAAGCCCCACATCGGGCTCTGTGTGGACAGTGTGGAGCCTGGGTGGGTTTCTCTTTCTCCCTCTCTCTCTGCCCCTCCCTCACCCGTGCTTTCTCTCTCTCTCTCAAAATAAATAATAAGTATAAAGTTGAACAAAGATCAAAATGGCTGCAGTAATGCTTCCATGAAGCTCAATTTTTTTTTTTTTTTTTTTTTTTTTAGATTTTATTTTTAAGTGATCTCTATACCCAGTGTGGGGCTCAAACCCACAACCCTGAGATCAAGAGTTGTGTGCTCCTCTGACTGAGCCAGCCAGGTGCCCTGAAGCTTGATTTTAATTTTTTTTTTAATTTTATTTTTTTAACATTTATTTATTTTTGAGACAGAGAGAGACAGAGCATGAATGGGGGAGGGTCAGAGAGAGAGGAAGACACAGAATCCAAAACAGGCTCCAGGCCCTGAGCTTCAGCACACAGCCCGATGCGGGGCTCGAACTCACAGACCACGAGATCATGACCTAAGCTGAAGTTGGATGCTTAACCGACTGAGCCAACCAGACGCCCCATTAATTTTTTTTTTTAACGTTTACTTGTTTTTGAAGGAAAGACAGAGAGTGAGCAGGGGAGGAGCAGAGAGAGAGAGGGAGACACAGAATCCGAAAGAGGCTCCAGGCTCTGAGCTGTCAGCACAGAGCCTGATGTGGGACTTGAACTCACAAACCGTGAGATCACGACCTGAGCCGAAGTCAGATGCTCAACCAACTGAGCCACCCCCCGAAGCTCAATTTTAAAGTAAGCTTCTTCCTGTCTTCCTCTCCTTTCTTCTCAGCCCATTCAGGAACCCATCACCCCCCTGAAGAATAGCGATGCTGGCGGCATGTACAGTTCTGTCGAGACCCGCTAGATCCTGTATTTCCCTATAAAACTGCCAGTGCCCTCCTCCTGGCGGGCTTGGAGTCTTGAAGGCCACAGCGTGCTGCAGCCTCCTTTGGCCGGCAAAGCGACACAGCTACTGTTCCTCTTTACCCCGAACTCTGTGTCTGCGTTGTATTTTGGCTGCAAAGCACAGAGGTCCGTTTTCAACAATTTAGGGCCTGCATTCAGCACCACCAAACAGAGCACAGGTGCACCCTCGGCGGAGCAGCTCAGGGAAGGGACAGGTTTTGGTGGCTGAGTGCACAGAGGAAGGAGTGAAATGGGCAGAAAACCAGCCCAAGGCATTTCATAGCAAGGAAGGAAAGACAAAAAGAATGAACGTGAGAGTCTCAAGTTAATTTTTCTCTTAGACTTCTGAACGCCAGAAAACAAAGGAATTCTGCGCTACTGGGGGGAGGCTAAGTTACTAGGGGGGAGACGGGGGTAGGAGAAAGGCACCGGATCCTCAGCACAGGCTCACGCGGAGGTTCCCCACAAGTGCAAATCAAATGCAAAAGGAAAGCAGCCCACACGGGCGCCTGGGCTCAGAGCAGCCTTCAGTGACTCCCAGGGGTCTGGGGCCACCATGTTTAAAACCGTAACGTGCTCCTGACATACCTGGACGACTCCGACACGGCAGGTCACCTTCCACTACCCACGGCTCCTCTCCCTGCTCCAGCTTGAGGATCACTTTCGGTTTGGTGCTGTCGTACCCTGTGAGTGAGGAATGGAGGCAGGCTAGGACCGGCTGCACACCTTTCAGGTCTCTGAGTCCAAGATGCTGCCTCGGAGGCTGCCTGATTGAGTGCCCGGTTTTGCACCTTAGCAAAATCCAGACGTTTCGATGGAGGATTAAACAGACCAATAGCCTACCGGGAGCCCAAAAAGAGTTAAATGGTGCTATCATTTATTTCTTCAAACTTGAGGGAAGAAAATCACTAAATTGGCAGGCCCCCGACCCCGCCCCCCAAAGCAGCAACCGGACAGCAGGCTCTCCTCACCCACGGAGACAAGGTGGCTGTAGTTCTCCAGCATCACGTCCCGGTAGGTGGTCTTCTCCTCCGGCTCCAGCTGCTGCCACTCCTCCTGGGTGAAGTCCACGGCCACATCCCTGAATGACACTGGTCCCTGTAATGGCACGGTGATCGAAACCGGTAACATGGAGGAGATGTGTGGGCACAGGAGCTGACCAAGTTCGCCGGTAAAATGAACTATGAACACTGAAAATCTGACTTTATGTCACGGATTGTACAATCAAACAAACCATAATGGAAATACACTGCCTTTGGGTTCTTTTTATTAAGTGTTTATTTATTTTTGAGAGTCAGAGAGAGAGAGGGAGAGGGAGAGGGAGAGAGAGAGAGAGAACAAGCGGGGGAGGGACAGAGAGAAGGAGACACAGAATCCGAAGCAGGGTCCAGGCTCCAAGCTGTCAGCACAGAGCCTAACTTGGGGCTTGAATCCACGGACCGTGAGATCATGACCTGAGCCGAAGTCAGACGCTTAGCCGACTGAGCCACCCAGGCGCCCCTGTCTTTGGTTCCTTTAACTGCCCCCCTAAAAACCAAACCCCCAAACCAGAAAACCAACGGAGTTCCCGTTCTGCCAGTGGGCTGAGTTTTGGGGGACGTGAGGTGAGTAAAGCTCCTGCCAGGGCAACACCACACAAATGGACAAGCATCGGATTCCCTGGCCTTCTCTCTGGCCACCTTTCCTAGCAGGGCCTCCGGCCCCCTCTTCACAGGGTGCGCGTAGGGCCCATCCACGGTCTCCTCCTTCCTGCCGGACGCACCTCCTGCTTCAGCTCTTTCATCTTGGACTTTGACCCTCACGGGGGCTAGCTACCTGGGGCCACCTGTGTGGCTAAGTGTTCTACTTCCTCCCTGTGTTGGTCCAAACAGCACATCTCAAATACCCCTCTCTTGCAGCGACATGGTTGGTTGCGCTGAAGAACGCCCGAGACGTCAGGGTGAGGTCTATCGCAGGGAAAGTGCCTTAACATACTTTGAATGTTGGGGCACCTGGGTGGCTCAGTTGGTTAAGCGGCCGACTTCAGCTCAGGTCATGATCTCGTGGTCCGTGAGTTCAAGCCCCGCGTGGGGCTCTGTGCTGACAGCTCAGAGCCTGGAGCCTACTTCGGATTCTGGGTCTCCCTCTCTCTCTGCCCCTCCCCTGTTCATGCTCTGTCTCTCTGTCTCAAAAATAAATAAATGTTTAAAAAAAATTAAAACAACAACAACAAACTTTGAATGTTATGCTGCCAGGCTTGGCGTCACAGGTGTGGCAGAGTACCGCACAGGGTTCAGGGGGAAAGATGCAAACATGAAAAAGGACCAATGGCTGAAAACAGACAGCATCAGTACTGAACAGGTTGGCAGGGAAGAACAGGGCAAAGAGATCAAGACCCTTCTCCAGGACCACTTTTCTTTTTTTAATGTTCATTTATTTATTTTGGGAGAAAACGCAAGCAGGGGAGGCACACAGAGAGAGGGAGAGAGAGAGAATTCCAAGCAGGCTCCACACAGCACAAGGCCCGACATGGGGCTCGAACTCACGAACCATGAGGTCATGAACTGAGCCGAGATCAAAAGTCAGACACTTAACCGACTGAGCCACTCGGGGGCCCCAAGGACAGCTTTCTGACAATAAGAGTTGATTCCAATTCAGGAGAGGACGCCGAAGGTACACAGTCACTTTCCAGACTCGAAAAGAAAACGAAATCCTCTCATGGTCCAAATCAAAGCGATATAAAAACAGAGACTGTTACCTAGAGCAGGCGTCTCTGAGGAGACTCCGGAGATGTGGGGTCGAGAAGAGGAGAACTGAGAGCTGCGGAACACAGAGCTGCACGCAGGGCACACGCTGGGCACCGCAAGAGAGGACGGCGGACTCTAATGGCGCCCTGGAGCATCCCCAGGCCCATCGGGAGGGCCCAGGGTTCCCTGTCGGCAGCGGAAGTGAAGGGAAATTAACCACAGGCCTACCTGAGCAGCCTGGGTGGCTCCCGGTTTTCAGTGCACACAGCAGCCAGATGAGGGTCGGATGGTAAGAACGCTCTGGCTGCGGGCACTGTGGCCACACACACTTCAGAGCCTCTGTAATTAGGGTGGCCACACGCTCACCATCCAAGCCAAAAACTTCCGTGTGGGGTAAATGTTAAACCAGAAGGAATACAGGTGCAACAAGACGGTCTCAGGCAAACCAGGACATACATGAGCTCCATCCGTGTTGGACACGGATGATTTTCCTGAGGGTGGTGTCTGTCAGCACAGAGCCTGATGCAGGGAAGGCGCGGCCTGGAGCCTGCTTCTGGTTCTGTGTTTCTCTCTTTCTCTGCCTCTCTCTCTCTCTCTTTCTCTCTCTCTCAAAAATGAAACATTAAAAAAAAATTCTTTTCTTTTTAATTTTTTTTTTATTTTAAAAAAATATTTTTTTTTCAACATTTATTTATTTTTGGGACAGAGAGAGACAGCATGAACGGGCGAGGGGCAGAGAGAGAGGAAGACACAGAATCGGAAACAGGCTCCAGGCTCTGAGCCATCAGCCCAGAGCCCGACGCGGGGCTCGAACTCACGGACCGCGAGATCGTGACCTGGCTGAAGTCGGACGCTTAACCGACTGCGCCACCCAGGCGCCCCAAAGAAATTCTTTTCTAAATAGCATTACCGGGGGCGCCTGGGTGGCTCAGTTGGCTATGTATCCAACTCTTGATCTTGGCTCGGGTCATGATGTCAGAGTTTGTGAATTCAAGCCCCACGTCGGGCTCTGAGCTGACAGTGTGGAGCCTGCTTGGGATTCTCTCTCTGCCCCTCCAACTCTCTCTCTCAAAATTAACTAAACAAATAGAATTACCATAGGATCCAGCAATTCTTTTGAGTGTACGCTTGTAAGAACTGAAAGCAGGGCCTTCAAAGAGCTACTTATATGTTCACAGCAGCATTACGTACCATCGCTAAAACATACAAGTAACCCAAGCGTCCACCGACAGGCGAAGAGATAAGCAAGATGTGGTCCGTATGTACAACGGAGTCATCCTCAGCCTTAAAAAGAAAAGGAAATCCTGGCACCTGCTCCAACATGGACGAACTCTGAGGACACTATGCTCGTTGAAAATAAACCAGTTACAAAACGATGAACAGTGTGCGAATCTACTTAAATGAGCCATCACACTCAGAGGCAGAAAGGGGAATGGCTGCAGGGGCTGGGAGAGAAGTGGAGTTATTGTCTGATGTGGAAGAGAGTTTCAGTTTTGCAAGATGAGAAGTATTCTTGAGATGGTTGATGGTGATGGTTGCCTGACAATGTGAATGTACTTAATGCCAATGAACTGGGTATCTTAAAATGGTTAAAACAGTGAATGAATTTCACGTCATGTGTAATTTACCACAATAAAAACACTGGAAGAAAAAAATCAAGTGATATCTACCTAAAACACGTATCGCTAATCCACTAACTTCTAGAGCTCCGCAGACTTCCCCTCCACAAGGGAAAGCGCAAAATGGGGTCATTAGGTGAATATATTCACGTTAGCTATTAGTAATTTTTCTCTCAAAAACTGAAACTAAAAAAATCAAGAATTCTCACCAATTGAGGAAAAGCGAGTAAGTAAAAGCTAAGCATCAAGGTGAGCTGGTCAGCAATAATGGAATCAATTTCATAAAGGAAACAACTTACAGTTTTTCCACTGATTTATATATATATTTTTTAATTTTTTTTTTCAACATTTATTTATTTTTGGGACAGAGAGAGACAGAGCATGAATGGGGGAGGGGCAGAGAGAGAGGGAGACACAGAATCGGAAACAGGCTCCAGGCTCTGAGCCATCAGCCCAGAGCCTGACGCGGGGCTCGAACTCACGGACCGCGAGATCGTGACCTGGCTGAAGTCGGACGCTTAACTGACTGCGCCACCCAGGCGCCCCTCCACTGATTTATATTTTTTAACAAATTAAGCAGGGTATTGCTTCCATAACATGAGAACATTCTCCTAAAAACAGCCATCACAAAATGCTTAGAGATTAAAGACCAAATTGTTGAATTTTTTAAAATCCCCAAGGAACAGGCTTAAATAACAAATGGGACACAAAATATATAATCTAGGAAATCTCTCAGATAACTAGAAATTGAAATGAGATAAAGCTTGAGATATGAAAGCCAAATCTGACAGATTTGACATTTTCACAACGAACGAGAAAAAAAAAAAAACAAACAACTGAAAACGATACCTGAGCTGAAGAATCAAGTAAGCCTTCGCATCAAAAGGGGCCACCCAATTCGCAAACAGGACTACTGGGAGGAAAATACAGATCTACACATTTCCTGACAAAATACCCAAAGCGGAAAAATTAAGGAAAAAAAATCCTAAAAAGTTACAAGGGTGGAAAAAACACCCTTAGGCACCCCTGGGAACTGCCATTCTACTTCTCACCTGAGAAAAACCCACAGAGAACTGCCCACTGCTTGCAAAGGAAAAAGGATTTTGAACCCAGAACCGTATATGAAGCCAAGCTATCACTGAGGCGTGCAGACATCGTAAAGGTATTTGCAGCGAAGCAGGACAACTGATTTATCAAAGGGAACACTTTTCCTTCAAACACTCGAGATACCCTTCCACCCCAGCCCGAACAGGGGGTACAGAAGCCCCAACGGAGGAGGCAAGAAGGTTTCCAGAGTTGCTGCCAGGAGTAGTTCGGGCGACCGCGAACACTGAACTCGTATTTCAGAAGAGAAGCGCTCAGCAAATGTGCCCCACGGCCCTGCTACTTACTAAGTCCTCATCAATAAGGGGTTTATATCACTTACAAAGTCTGCATCAACAAGGGTTCATACCACTGATCCAGATGCCACGGCTGAGACTGCCCAAGACTGCAGAGTTGAGCTGACTGGCCACCCAGAGCAGGGCGTCCCAGCTGGTCCAGGCCAAGTGAGCCTGTGAACTGCCATGGAGAGTAAGAACCTTCTGGGTTCTCAGTCCACACGGCAAGGAGTACCAGGATTAGAAGACCGATCGATCAATAAATAGGATAGATAAAATTACACGGTATCTCTTACGTCAACACAAACATCCACAACGAAATATCAGCAAACAGAATCCAACACCAGACTGAAACGGTAACATATAATATCTAA